ATAAATTGTTAATATCAAATCTTTTGTGTTATATAGTATTGCCTTTATTGGCCCTAGTGTAACACCATACACCCAGCGTAATCCAGGATATAGGATATACACAGTTGATGGCGACTACTTTAACAGCTCAAGGGTAAGCAAAGATAATATATTGTAATTAATGATTATTTATTGTAATTTAAAGTACTATGAATATGACTTTTGCTTGATTCTTATTTCAAGAAAATTTGAGCAATGCATTGAACTATTTCTTTTGATGACTCTCTATTAATATGGAGTTCCTCAGAGATCCATTCTTGGTCCCCAACATATTCCAGATTTTCAATGGTTGTACTTTTTGTGAATATGGAGTTCCTCAGAGATCCRTCTTTGGTCYCCAAAARTATCTTTGAAAATAACATAATTTTTCCGACGTTGGAGTTCCTCAGAGATCCATTCTTGGTCTCCCAGATACTTAAGTTTGTTTGTTGTATTTTTCCAGGTTGTACTAGACCATGAGACCTACATTCTTAATTTAACTGAGGCCAACAAAGGAAATGTAAAATGGCAGCTGGAATACAAGGCTAAGGTTAGTAAGAAAATGCTAGATTTTATCTTAATCCCAAGCCAAGAAATACTGTAAATTTTGAGCAATATCTGTTATATTCCAGGAAGCTTACAAGATGTCATCACTTTTGCCTTCTGAATGGAATGCTCTAGTATACCGCATGGCCAATGATAATGCCCTGTTAGATCTTGTTTACAAGTAAGGCCTTGTACTCTGTTGCCCAAGCTTATCAATATCAGACAGTATGACTTTCTTTCATTGTATCTGTAAASTTCTTAAAACCTTCAAATTTATCAATGCTCTGAAACAACCTTGGGGCTGATCTAAGCCAGGGCATGGCTAACTCACAGATTGAAACCTGAAACAACTTTGTGGCTGATCGAAGTCAGAGCATGGCTAATTTTTTAGGTTTTTATGGAGGGACAAAAACTGAGAACGCAGAGAAAAACCCTTGAATCAAAGGAGAGACCTAACAAACTCTACTCACATGTGATTCACAGTCCAGTAATTTATTCCCAGACACCAGAAATGAAAGACAAGTGTACTACCACTACACCACCCTTGAYATTCTTCATACRTATAATTTGATATGAAATTTTCAATTATTTCAGGCATTTTTGGAAGTCCTCTCCTGATAGTGTCCATGGTGGCCCATGTGACACAACTGAATGTCGCCATGAATTTGTATGTCGCTTGTTAGCAGGMAGATCACATGATCCTGAGGTGTGCACCCTCAGAGGGTTAAAGATTACCAAGTCCAGGCAGCATTTGTCTCCTCTCATGGATGTTTGTTAACACGTAATATTTGCATTGATAATCATCACTTTCAGACTAAAAAATTATCAACTTTGACTTGAATTATTTTAGTTTAAACAGACTAGTAGACCAAATCTGCATTTTTTTTCCATATCAAACCATGTGTCATTTCCTTGAGTATTATTTTTTCTTTAGCAGCAGTGCTTCAATAGAAACTTGGATAAAAATGTTTACTCCTAAGTGCTACTTGTACAAAAATCGCTCAAACTTTACTCAACTCAAACCAAAAAAAAATTTTAAAGGTATTTGGCTTAAAATGGAAGTTGGAGAAATGCCATTTTTATTTACCTTTTGTCTGCTAATGGGCTATCATGAATCAAAGCAAAATCGTCCATAATAATAGCACTTTTAAAAATGATTCACTGTATATATCATTCGTACGCAAACTTCTTGTCTAATTATTGCTTGCTTGGGCAAATTCAAATTCACAGTGAAAATAATTTCAAAATCAATACATTATTTATTTAAAATCTATATTAATATCTAAAAGGTTCATAAATCATAAAACCTCACGCATAATTTCCAATTAGAATTACGATTTACAAACAAAATATAGTTTTTAAAAACATTCCGCTATATCACTGTGACGTCACAGGTTATTCATATGGGGCACAGAGTAGCAAAGAGCAAATTATAAGAGTATAGTCTAATTTTATCCTCACCTGTAGCTGAACTGATAGTCCTGATATATCTGATTTTCAAACATTTTATAAACTGGACATGTTTATTCTACAAAATGTATAGTATTTTTTGGTGATTGTTTTGAGTCCTAAAAAATACTATTTTTTGCAATTTTCTTTCTAAGTGTTACTTTGTCTGTCTGTTGACTGTATTGTATTAATAATATGATTGTAATATAAATGACTTTGCTACAAAAATATATTACTCTATTTCATAATAAACAAGTCTATTTGTAATTTTTTATGTCACTAAGAACACCCAGATTATTTGCCAATATCCAACACCTAAACTGATAAAATGGACTCTAATAGCCCACTTCCGAGATATGCTTTGCTTGTCATGTACAAAGGTTTCAGTACAAGGCTCGTGCTAACAATACTTGGATACATGGAGCTGAACAATTAATACTCTGCAAAACATAAACCCTAACCCAGCTTGCTATGCCAAGAAAGACCCATAAAATCAGGTGCCTATTTTGAATCATTGCTTCGACATTGCTCCTGAATGAAAGTAAGGAGTACAGTGTCAGTTACAGAGAGTACTGTGGTAGTAGTACACCTAAAATACAATACTAAAAAAACCACACCCATATTGAATAAATGTTCAGGCCATCGACAAATACTTCTCAGGGACTGCAAAGGGTAGGGGCTGGGCTAATATTGACTAAAGTATTCCATATAAACCCCCTGCTTTTATCCTTCCTCATTCTAGTGTGATTTTCCAATCTAGGCACTAAATTATTAGGAAGCTCCAGAGTCCTTGCTTTTTCCCTTGGACAGTAACCTTATTACCTTGATAGCATATTATTTCTTATCTAGTGTATTTTTGTTTCTTCTATGTTGAATCCAAAGCTTTCAGGTCATTGACCCTCGTCAGGGAAGGGGGTGGGRGGTGGGGGCTAAAAAATTGACCATGATTCAAACTCAAACTACAGTGCCCAGTATCCAGCTTAATTTTTCTACAGATAAATGATAGTCAATCTCCTGTTTGTGGATTTTTATCTATCCTCCTTCATGAGGTAGTTTTATGCCTTCCTCTTCTGTTAGTTGCTTGCATAGCCTTCAATTTCTCTTTGGCCCATTTTTTCTTTCCTTCCTCGTCTGTCCTGGTTTTGCTAAGAATCTGTCCCTCTGTTTTTGCTCTGTTGAACTTTGACTTAGAGATATCTTCACTCTTATCTACTTCAAGTGCCTTGTTTTGGCTCAGGATTTGTCCCTCTGTGTTTGCCCTATTGAACATCTTTGACATGGAGGTACCTTCACTGGTATTAAAGCTGTCTTCTTGTGCTGAAGCCTCAAAGACATCATCACTTACTCCAAAATCATCATTAGGTGAAACATTTTCCAAATCTCCTGGGGAAGACTGTGTTCTCAGCCTGGAACTTTCAGCCTTTACTTTTTCCAAATGATTCTGAWAGCCGAAATCGAAAGGGTTYACTGAGACTTTCTTGCGTGCCCATCCTCTTCGTCTGTACTTGAATGAATCAATGTACTTTTTTGGACGAACTTTTTTCTCCCATGTTTCCACCGCAATGGCTTGCCGGGATTTTCCGATTTTTGCTCGTAGAATGGGCGGTGTTCGATCTCCACGTTTCTCTCGTTCCTGTCTGCGTATATCCTTGGCAAGATCCAGTGCGACTGCACATAGAAAAAATACTATGTTTAGAGATGTGGTTTATTTAAGCTAGGACAACGTTAAGGAACCGTGCCGTGAAAGTGTTGTGCTCAAGCATTTTGACTGAATGACTAGCACCTTTGCACACAGTTTGCCGTTCGCCATGTTAATAGACAGTTTATTACTTTTCTGATTATCGTAATCATCATTTTTGTATTATTTTGAATTTCATCTTTCACAGCGCCTAGAGCAGCCTTGGATAAGCGCTTTACAAATTTGAATTATTATTATTATTATTATTCATTCTTGCACGCTTTCTTCAGGAGGTGTTGCCAGTTTGATCTGTMCCCCATCTGTTGTACCTCGTGACTGGCGCTTTGTGCAGGAGATTTCAGGGGTGCTTACCACTTACCCGGAAAAACCGGAAATTCCAGTKGAAAAACAAATGGCATGTGTCATTCCGATCAGAAAGTTCCGGAAAACTCGGTCTTTTGATGGAAGTAATTTATCTTTMCCGCTCTCTTCGGTTCTTCCGGTAGACGCGCGTACCATTTGTTGGAAGTCAAAGTTTTCCGCTCTTTTCTTATCATTAGCAAACAAATTTCCGACCAAATGGATTGGTTTAAATGATAAACACCCCAGTTATCTACTGTTTGTACCTCGCATCTAAAGCGTGATATTCAAGTCACGTCAAAATTATCTTAGTGCGCGCTGTGTTTCAATTTTGTTATCTCATTTCTCTACTTTCTGTACCGCACATCGTGACATTCCGTCACGCAAGATAGGTTTTGGTGCGCGTCAATTTTAAACCCAATCAGTTCCGCGCGCTTTAACTTCCAGTCATAAAACCAGAATCTCTTCATTTATTAGTATTACCTTTTGTCACTCGACTTGGCTCAGTCATTTCTACCTCGATCCAGCAAGGCGCATCAATGTCTTGATCAGCGTCCTTAACAAAACAGATACACACCTTGGTGGATGCCAATAAATCCTCACTCTTCCCTGGTTCGTATCGTTTTGGGTCACACACATAATTGAGGTTGTCGGCAAATGAATCGAAGTCAAAAATCTAAAATTCAAAGATTCAAAGTTGATATTAGAAATAAATGCAGCAATTAGCCAAATCCACTTGGGCGAAATGTTTTTCCATTTCACACCACGTGTCATTCTCTTGAGAATGAGATTCTTTGTTTGAGTTGTATCCATATTCATGTGTCTTCTCATGCGCAACCGTTAAACAAAGAAATAATAATCTGGCGAATGACATGTGGTCTGAAAGGGAAAAACATTACGCGCAAGTACATTTTGTGACCTTGAGATTTGCGCATCTAAACCTTACTGGCCACAAAGAAAAAAATTCTGAAAAAGTGTGACAGAATTTCCGTTTTTTAAACGGAATAAAGATTTTTACTAGCAAAAACTTTGACCTTCTTCGACATATCTAATTCTCTGTACCTTGAGTAACTTTCCTTTGGGTAACACTCCCTTTACCTCAATCACTTCGGAAGATAAATGATGCCCCTAAGAGAATAAGATGAAATTTCTTTAATTTAGATTTTTGTTAATTYCAAAATAGAAGACGAAAGTGGTACCTGTATTAAGCATACACACTCAGAACTTTACGTGGTGTCTGCTTCATAAAGGKTGTCTACTGAATAGAGGTTTGTTTTACAGTAAACACAGTGGTACCTGTATTAAGCATACACCCTCAGGACCTTACGTGGTGTCTGCTTAATAAAGGTTGTCTACTGAATAGAGGTTTGTTTTACAGTAAACACAGTGGTATCTATTTTAAGCAGACACCTTCAGGACCTTAACTGGTGTCCACTTAATAAAGTGTGTTGACTAATAAGTTTTACAGTAAATATGCAAGGACAATTTCGGGACGTTCAACTTCCTGTCTGTTTAATGAAGGATTAAAAAAGGAAAAAACTCRATGTCGTTAAATATGACTTGCCTTGACAAATACTTTATTCTTGCTGCATCTTTTGACCCACATGTTGCCCTTTTCATCTATCGTCAACTTGATTCCCTTTATAATGATAAAAAATAGCATAACGACAAAAAAATGATGGGCTTTGGCGTACATTATGCATATTTTTTGAATTAGTATTTTATCAATACTCTGAAACAGTCTCTGGGCTACTCTAACGGTAAGTYGGAACTCAGGGTCTCGAATTCAAATTAACGTGTTTGGGTTTTGCAGAGGGAGGAAAACCCTCGAATCAAGGGTGAGACCTAACAAACTTTACTCACATGTGATGCTGAGTCTGGAAGTGAGAGTCCAGAGGTGAGAGGCACTAGTGAATGCAGTACTGTTACACCAACATTGATTCACTCACATTTGATGAAGTACAGGAATCAATCCCCAGAGGTGAGAGGCGAGTKCACTGCCACTACGCCCCTCTTGRTTCCTGTTATATCAAATGGATGAATAAATAAAATAATCTCTAGGCCATACCTTGCCAACGCACAGCCTTACTTTCTCCACCTTATTGTCTCCTGGTGTGATTGGCATGGACCCAATACCTATCCTGAAGTATAAGATAATAATAAAAAATAATAAACAATAATAATAATAATAAATAATAATAATAATGATGATAATGATAATAATAATGGGATAAACAGTGGATTCCACATTGGCTCTTCTTCCACTGGATTCCAATTGTAATTTAATGATACCCTTAAGAAGATAATGTTCATCGATGATGTAGTATAAATATGATGTCAATGAATTWTCTCTTATCGAATCAAAAGTATTTTCAAACTAGACTATCACACTAATGACGTCGTCGTCACGAGCCAGTGCAAGTGCTKTGTGCAGATATAAAGCACGCGTGGATTGGCTGAACACGACAGTGGTAAGGACCCCGGCAACGCCCTAACACAGAAGTACAAAAGTACAAACATTCAATCTCGTTTAAAAAATCATTTCATTTTCTCATCCCAATATAGCTTACCTCGTTACGTCAAAAGCATTGCTTGAGCCATCGACGATAATGACGGGGCGGTCCACGTGGAACTCGCCACGTGATATATCACGTTCATAGCACGTGATAGTACACCACAGACCAGGTGATTCCATGGCAACCTTCATGTCATCGTCTGCGTCCTATTAAAACAATGAGAGGGTCGAATAACCATATAAAAAATGAGACTTAAATGGAAGGTTAGGGAAGGGAAGGGAAGGGAAGGGAAAGTTAGGGGAGGGAAGGGAAGGGAAGGGAAGGGAGGGGAAGTGCAAGACTACTCTTACTTTTTTATCTTTGTTGACCTCTTTACCTTTCGCCGTAATGTTTTTCATTTCAGACCACGTGTCATTCTCTTGAGAATAAGATTCTTAGTTTGATTTGTATCCAATTCACGTGTCCTCTCATGCACAACTGTTAAACWAAGAAATTACACTCTAGGGAATGACCCGAGGACTGAAATGGGAAAACACGATCCCCAAGGTAAAGAAGTCTACTGGGCTTCCTGTGTTAAAATGCTCACACCTTTGACATCGTAGATTCGTAGGAAACCGTCGAGAGGTTCGACTCCCGCCCAGCTAAGGTAGGCCTGTCCAGTAACGTATCACATTCAGGTGACGTTACTATGGTGGAGTTAGCTGATGTATCATTAAATATATCCGTTATGGACAGCTCTGCAAGTGTTTCTTCCTCCGAGGACGTCTCCTGATCCATATCAACATTCTCACTACTAAATATACCGGTAATTGAATTAATAGGTTCAGGAGAATATAGATCTTCATCAGAAGCGCCATCCGAACTTGTTGAAGTAGGAGACAGGACGGGAGAAACTGCGTCGGACTCAAAGATGTTGGAGATCGACAATAGCGGGGAACCGTCAGGAGAGAATTCTCCTGTTGTTTGTGGGCTTCTTGGTTCTTCATCTGTTTCGCTATCAGAATTTTGAGCGAGATGTGGGGGTTGAGTTACTTTGACGGGAGACACGATAAGAGCATCGATCATCGAGAGGTTGTGACTTGGCATTGTCGCTGAATCAGACTCGTCATCACGGTTAGGCAGATCTGCAGAAAGAATTCAAATAACTCAGATAGGAAAAGKTTATTTGCACTAATTGATCATGTGACCCTACCCCCTAGAAACGAGCATTCGGAAAGCATGGGTGGCGTAGCGGTGAGAGCGCTCACATCTCACCAATGCGACCCGGGTTCGATTCTCGGACTCGTCGTATGTGAGTAGAGTTTTTGTAGGTTCTCTCCTGTGCTGAGGGGTTTTCTTTGGGTTCTCCGATTTTCCTCCCTCCATAAAAAGCAACTTCTAAATTCTAATTTGATCTAAAAAGGGCCTAGATGAAAATTACTCTGTGTAAATCTAGTTACCCTACCAAATTGTGTATGTCACCAGATGAACACCAGAAATGAAAATAGCATTTTGTCACCAGAAATGATAAATCAGCATTGTTTATCTTGCGTTGAGTGTGCTGGCCAATTAGATTGAAGAATTCTCATCACAAAACGTGTGATCAACTAACTGACCGCGTTTGAAAGAATTACCACTGTATTTATTCATGGTACAGAAGAACCTAATAACGAGTTGTTTTTTTTTTCAAGTCTGCTGCAGCTTTTCATATAATAAGACAGTAAMAATGAACCTTCAGTACCTGGTGTTGATGATTTCGGCAAGTCTTCCCTAAATATATACAGAACTTCAGTTAATGCTGAGGGGTCTCAAAAAGGATTCATTAGGCATGCACCCATATTCACTGTACAGGCCACGTTACACAAATTCGCATWCATAATATCAACATCTGCGTGTTGAGAGGTCCCAAAATAGATCCTTGAGGTACACACCCTGTTCAAAACCACGCAAAACATCCTTATACCTCAATTGTGTGCTTAGCGGTCCTAAGAAAGATCCTTGAGGTATGCACCCATATTCACAGTACAGGCCCCGTTACACAACACAATATACACAATATCACCATCTGCGTGCTGAGAGGTCCCAAAATAGATCCTTGAGGTACACACCCTGTTTAAACAACCTTATACTTGAATAGCGCAGCGCACTGATTCTAAAAATAGCTTAAAGATTCGGACAAACATTGCATTCTGTTTAACCGCTACTAGGACTTATACGAACCGATTTTATCATTTTTACTTAAAGTTACAATAATAACCCATGTAAACTAAGATCGGCTGTGAAAATTATCTGCTGACAGTAAACTTGTAAGTTTGTTTGTCCGAATTTCGCCTTTGTTTTCGTTTTTATGACGTCACGGTTGAGTGCGCTATTGGGAGCTTGGCGGTTTCAATATGGGTCCTTGAGGCACACCCGATGCTTAAGTAAAACAACGCCTAATACCTATAATTTATTTTACTCTAATCCTCACTGCTTCCTTATTCACCCATCATGTTGCACAACAATCGCACATAATATCAACATTTGGATAATGAGAGGTTCTAAGATAGATCCTTGAGGCACACCCCACATGCTAATAAAACAACGTCTAATATGCCTATAATCTATTTTAGTCTGATCCTCTCTCATCTCCCATTAGCATTGCACAACAATCGCACATAATATCAACGTTTTTGTTACTTAGAGGTCCCAATATAGATCCTTGAGGCACACCCTATATACTAAGAGTCTTACCTTGAATCGGGGGAAGACAGCTGTGACGATGARTTTTTGCTCCATTTTCCTTTATTACCCATGAGTATATTCAGCGCCCTTTCCTTTATTTCATCGTTATCAACAACCAAAGACCTCTGCAAGAGATTCAGAARAAGAGGTGGCAGGTGTTCATTCAGGGTTTGAAAAATTTGAAGGTTTCAAGGATTTTTATAGAAAACATTACTACACTAAASTCCCAACTGTAAATCCTATTGTGAACATAATTATAGTCGCTTCACTATCTTCTCCTTCTCTTCTCCAGTTCTGACTTAATTCTGGTGCCGAATCCTCCTATCTTGTCTCAATGTGTGTATACCTTSGAGGTATTTGTTTTAGATCTGCCGTCTTCTTCAGTAACTTGATTATAAAAATGATTAAACACCATGGCCATCCTATTCTCGACCTGAAAATAAAATTAACAATATATTGTAATAATAACAATTGATTAACTTATAAAGCGCAAGTACCTATATACATATGCGCYATTCATAAAATCATACTAATAAAACAACAYTAATAATACTAGTAGAATAAATTGAAATAAAAAATATAATCGATAATAATAAATTAGAACATATACAAAGAAGTGTTTCAACTGTTCCTCAACAAAACCTCTAGTAAATAAATGGGTCTTATGTTTCTTCTAAGTTAAGCCATTTATCGACTGAGTTTCGCCTCGCGTGGTGGTTTCTAGTCTCCTAAGCAGCCGCAATTACTGTCGTCACGCAACGCTAATAGCGGCTGCGTGACGACACTAATAGCGGCTACGTAGGAGAATAGGTTGGTTTCCTGCAATTCTCTTTTTTTCTATCAGCACCCGACTTGTTTAGTTTAGAGTCTAAAATGGAAAACTGAAAACTGTTTTATATTTCTTAATTTGTAATCAGCAAAAAAAAAAAAAAGTTTAGAGGATACTGTCATACCTTTGACAGAAAGTCCTTGACTATAGCTCGTTCYCTCTCTTTCTGAAATTGCAGAAGTTTAAATTTTCTTCTTGCAATCCGTCCACGAAACACTAGGTAGACAAAATATATGACGTGAAGCAGAGTTACGAGGAGTAGAAAGATTTGTATCCCGATTAAACTTAAAACTTCAAAGTGCATTACGAAATCTTTACAGGTGCGGATCCAGGGRTGGTAAAAGGGGTGACTAGYCAMCMCCCTTTTGCTCARATTTCTTAGTATATCGTTAGTAACWRTYATCCTCCTTTTCTTTGCATTCCTGGTAAAACCTTTGTAATAGCCACCCCACCACGGCCCCCTTATAAAATTCCTGGAYCCGCCGCTGCTTTAGGAGAATTTTCCTTCATCCTAGCTGCATGACTACYGGCTACTTTATGTTTAATTAATGGWTAAACAGTATACCTACATTTTTGTATGATCACTATGCCCTGTTGGGTCTTAAGAAGCTTGTGTTCGAGTTTGTCTCGACAGCTGTTTTTCATGAACACCTAAAAAATGTGAGTAGAGGACACTGGCGTTAGATAAGCTTGTCTGTCTGTTGTTTGTTTGTCACAGTGTCTGTCTGTCTGGCTCACTATCCGTCTTTCTGTCCATCCATTTGTGTGTCTGGCTGGCTGTTTGCCGGTCTGTCTTTTTGCTTGTCTCCCTGCTTGCCTATTTAGCTCTTGGTCCATTTGTCTATCTAGCGTACTATCTATCTGTCTGTCCATCTTTCTGCCCGCCCGCCTGCATTTCTATTCTATACAGTATTTCTGCATTCCTTCTTGCCTTCCTGTCTGATCATCAACCAGGCAGTCCTGAGTGAGTGAGTGAGTGAGTGAGTGAGTGAGTGAGTGAGTGAGTGAGTGAGTGAGTGAGTGACTGACTGACTGACCAGCTTTATTCAATACCTTGGTTTTAGCAATCTTCCACTCCAACCCACTGATAGTCCATAATATTTTCTCGCAGGTGTTTGCAACATATTTCACGTTCATGGTTGAACGATAAGCAAGAATTCTGTACCTAGACAAGCATTAGATAAAAAGACTTCTATATYATTTTTTATTGGTATCATATGGTTGTCATGTAATTACAATGGGCGTGCAAATAAAGTTGTTGTTGTTAAAAACATTTCAAATTTTAAGTCAGGGCATGGCTACCTCACAGATTGAACCCTGAAACAACCTCTGTGCTGATCTAAGTCAGGGCATGGCTAACTCACAGATTGAACGCTGAAACAACCTCTGGGCTGATCTAAGTCAGGGCATGGCTACCTCACAGATCGATCCCTGAAACAACCTCTGGGCTGATCTAAGTCAGGACACGGCTAATTCACAGATTGAACCCTGAAACAACCTCTGGGCTGATCTAAGTCAGGGCACGGCTAACTCACAGATTGAACCCTGAAACAACCTCTGGGCTGATCTAAGTCAGGATCACAGATCGATTTGAAACTTAGCACGCTAGGTTTTGGCCTGTCTAGGAATTGAACCCAAGAATCCATAGGTGAGAGGCGAGTGCACTACAACAACAACACTCTTGATTCTCCATTCTGTCAGTTCAAAATTGATGCAAACTGATTGCAGTTGCTCAACTCACCTATTGATAAAAGGACCAAAGGCAACGCGCACAGGAAACCCTTGCTGGCGCATGAGCACCGTCTCCATCACACTACTGTATGTGAGCTGTGYCTTGACCAACTCATCGTCGAAATGGTATGGAATGAGCTGATGATTTGGACGAAAACACCTTGGAAAGATTATATATTAGTAAGTATGCTGAGAAAATTAGTATAAAAGGGAGAACACAGGCATCAAATCACATGCTGTAGGAGAATCATCTTCCCCATCCCCGTGACTGTGACAGTAGCGTGACCGCGATGGTAGCGTGACGTGACCATGATGGTAGCGTGACGTGACCATGACCGCGATTGTAGCGTGACGTAGACCTGACGGTGGCGTGACGTGAATGGACCTTGACCGTCGCGTGACATGAACGTAACCTAAACGTTACTTACAGCTTACCTCACAAAATGTAAGTCACATTTAAGAAATCTTTGAACCAGATCAGAAAGAGAATTCTATGACAAACAAAAAAGAAAAGATCAATAAACAAGAATAGCAGACATCACATTACGTCAGGGGYGTAGCGAGGTCTCAAATTATGGTGGAGCARTGTACCATTTTCCCGCCAAATCCACAGGAATCCCGCATGAGTTAATTATTCATTACGGTTTGAGGGCAAAAAATAGGGCAGGGGCTTCATGAACCTCTTCCGTATCTACCTCGTACGGAAAATATAAAGTAGAGAGTGAAATAATGGTACTCACTCTTAGCTGTGATGTCAGGGTAAGATGTGCTTGTTCCTGGATCAATTTATTTTTACTTTGTTTAGATTTGGTGAATCCTTGAATGTTACCAATCCTATGTTGAAATCCATCAGAAAAATATATCAATCCATTTTAGTATATAAAAACAAATGACTCATTCCAATAATTTTGTTAACGAAAGATTCCTTTCATTGGTTCTTATTTTTCAAAATTAATTTGAACAGCCAAGTCGTTTGAATTACTAGTAAGTAAAAATTTTGTTTTTTTAATTATATTAACCAAAATGCCAGCCATTTCTCGCGTTAATGACGGTTTTGACAGTCGCCACGATTGAATTTAAAAAATATTTCCCTTTCTATATTAGAGTTGTTTTCGCTTGACTGAGAAAAGTTCAGTGCAGTAAACGTGCCGTGCCGTGACCGTGATGTTGTCTAGATTTTAATTGATTGTTTTTTTTCTCGCGCAATGTGATTGGTTTAACAGTTCCGTGACCTTGGTGTGTCCGTGACGTGTTCATACCGTGTTCCGGGTGTTTAATTGGATAGAGAGTAAATTATCGARCAATGTGATTRGTCTGACGTATCCCTTGYCGTGTCACAASCGTGTTCGTGCCGTGAGCCTTTTAAAATCTTACGAAAACTAAGACCCAACGGGGACTGGAAACACCTAGAATTGGTCTGTCTTTTTATCGCATCYCACATGGTTAGTTCAGTGTCTCCATATGATTTCTGAACACATGAGCATGCGCAATACGGTTATCTGTAGCGAATCATTTAGTTAGATGTTATGTTAACGATACTCACATTTCTGTTTTACGTCGCACTGTCCCTCGCCTAAAAATAGTCAAACACAACA